CCAGAAGTAATGACGATCGATAATAATCGATTATTTCTTGAATTTACCTTTAAAGGAGAAAAAAAACAGCGATGAAATCGTTTGAACATGATATAGGTAGAGAGGAGTCCAGTAGCTATGTTCGATCAATTCATGAACATATTTACGTTCAACGAAGTTTTGAAGATTTCCGACAAGAATATGGATTATTCATATTCAACAACTGCAACAAGTAGAAATACGTGTAAGTCTTCCTGATTTATTGTTTAAAACCAAAAACTAACAAATAAGAACGGCATCTTTTCTCCAATATCCTCGCTACGGGATATTTTGTGTATAAATTAGTCTGTTAGAAAAAGAAAAATATTCTCGTTTCTTTGGACAGAAATAATATGTAGTATTTAAAAAGACTAGAGAACGTGAACTTGGTTTTTTATGCTTTAATTATCATTCATGAAATGAAATTGGTTTTAAACGAATTAAACTTTTCCTAGTGTCAAAATCTACTATCATCCAACAACAAATGATATTACCAAGACTATCGGAAAGTCTTTATTCAAATCTAGATAGTTCGGAGTAACAGTTTGAGCGTAAATATTTGAATGGCATTTTCTTCTCTGTTCAATTTATCTGAACTTTAATTCTAGGATAGTTTTTTTTTTCGATGCACTATTGAGAAAATATCAATAAATTTTAACAATACGTATGAAAATAACACTATCTATTTTATATATAAATATGCTAGCTGCTTTCAATTCAATATGTTCTATATGAAAACCAAAACGATTTATTTTCGAAAAATTCTTCTTCGTGGAAAATAAACTATAAAAAAAACTTTCTTTATATTTCAACTTCATACGATCAGCTGAGTTTCAAATTAAGTCTAACAATGACTTTCTCTTGTTATAGAAAATTACATTTCATTCAGAATTTTTTGCGACTTTTTTTCTGTATAGATAAAATTCAAATGCTTCCATTGCGACATCTATTAGAGCTACCATTTCGTTCAGTTTCTATTGCATGCACGGTAATCAATAGCGAAACATGAATGTATTTGCATATTTGTCTTAGTCTTTTTCATATTTCATTGTATTTTCAATATCATATGAGTAATTATTTCGTAATGATGAAGAAATTTTAAACACGACCCAAGGTATACACGTGCGAATTTTTCTATCTGAATATAGTGTAATAAAAAAACACACTTTCTTTTATCGTTTTGATTTTAGCATAAAACATGGTGACTATCACATTTGCTGTAGCTAAAGTCGATGTATGTACTAAAAGACATATTGAAACTCAACAACTATCAGAAGCTGATTTAGCTCGATGGACATTAAAAGATGAAAAATTATCACTCGAAAATTTTCAAACTAATTATCCTTTAGCTGCTGAACTTAATGGTGATAATTATCGAATTAAAAATGCTTTTGTCGGTGCTATTTATCAAGCTTATTGTAATCATTATCCACTTGAATTAAGTGTCGAAGACATTTGGGTTACTATTGCACAAGGTATTGGTATTCATCTCAATCAAAATGCTGAAAAATATCGTCATTTAATGGTATCACATGAAGGACAAAAAGAATTAATATTAAATGTTGACAATCTTCGAATACCAGATTCTGATCGGCCAGCATATGGTAATAAATCTGTACCTGCAATTGATTGGTCACGAGCTGTTCGATTGATGTGTGGATTGATTAAAGATGATATGAAAACAGATATGACTACACTTTTGACAACGCCTTTTTCGAGTACAACACCAGTTGAACAAGCCGTGTTTGATTGTACATTGATGGATACTGTCAAAGCTTATTATAAATATAGATGTTGTTTAAGCTGTGGTATTCCTGAAGTAACATTATGTGGTTCGCCAGATGATTTTCAACAAGTGATTGATCGTATCAATCAACTTCGAACAATTTTTACTGATTTTCATTGGTGGTTAGATTCACTTTTACCTCATTTAAAACAATTGAAAGCAAGTGTTGAAGGAAAACCAGATATTGACTGGTGGCAAAAAATATGTCATGAGGAAGGAGGTGGATCTGGTCCATCTTATTTAGCTGGTTGGCTTGCTGATTTTATTCCGTAAGCTTATTCACATATGAATGTTTGTATATTTCTATCATTGTTTTTTCTAGATATATATGTGATGGAGCAGGTCACTATAAAAAAGTTAGACGTGATGATCATCATCATTATTCTAAAGTATGTCTTTTCTTTTATGAAGTTTTTTTGATGAAAAAATAATACCTAGTTATTTTTGATTAAATTTAGGATTCAATGAATCGTATTGAATTTGGTGATTTTAATGAAAGTGTTACTCGAACAGATTTCATTTTGGATGATAATGGACATGAGACAAAAATGAAATTCATTGCTGGATTCTTAGGTATTGGTCAGAATCCAAAGACAAGTGCACTTCGTCCATGTCTCGGTTGGGCAACAGCATTACTGATTTGATTATTGTTTTTTTCAATCAAAAACAATATTTTGACATTTTTCTTCAATCATTGAGCATTATAATTTAAATATATCTAATATATTTTATCCATAAAGTTTTTTCATTAAATATCATAAACTACAATGCAAAAATTAAATTAAATAAATTATTCAATGTAAACTGATATCAAAGGTCGTTTCTAAATATAGTTTTTATTTTGAATATGATGTTATAGTAGTTAAATGTGTTACAGAAAAGAAAGTTCGTAATTGCACATATCAAAAAAAATAATAAGTTTGTTTGCTTTTATATTTTACCAACGACAAGTGTACAAGTGTCATCGAAATAGATCAATTAATTCACATAAAGATTCACATATTCACTCTTAATATTTCCTGTGAGATAGCGGAAGAATACGCAAAGATCTGTTTGGATTTTTTCATGACAATATTTATTTCATTAAAATGCATCATTGATTGTCCAAATTTCGATTTTTCAAAACTACATCAATTCCTTTAAAAAGCGATGTTTTTAATTATACAATCATAAAGAACACAACAAAAAGATTGAAGTCAGAATTTCTTTATTGGAAGAGAAAGTCTTCTTGAATATTGAAATTGGAAAGAGTTTATCGAAAAAATATAATGCCTTCACGCAGAATCAAACTACCCTAGTGAGATATTTTGTCAGCAAGATCTTGACCAAGATCCAAGGTACAGAAAAGTAAACAGATCTTGACAATTTAGGTCCAAGATAATCAAATTATCTTCTACCAAGATCTACGATAACCATACAAACAGGAACTTTTTTCTTTACATAGCTACTGACCATTCAAGTAGAAGTTTAAACTTTTGTTCATCATTAATTTGAAAACGAACTAATTGTTCAATAGAATTTAAATTATAACTATTTGATGGTCATTTGTTTAATAATTCACTTGATTTCTATGGAAACCCTATTGAATTCAAAAAAGAAAACTTGTTTTTTTTTCTTCTGACTTACTGCATATTTTGTCTGCATTAAATATGTTGTTAGTAATTTTTCATATATAAATGTATCAAGTTGATATTTATTTATTCGAATATAAATGTATTCTTATCTAAATAAAAGAATAATCATTATTTTTAGTTTGTTGTTTTTTATTCATTGTTTTTTACTTACCTTAGGTTGATTTTGTTGAATAAATACAAGAAGTTGATCTTCTCATTCTTGTGTGGTTGTATAAATAGATAGAAATAACTCAGAAGGTTTTTTTTTATTTTCATGAGTATGAATTCAACATTTGACATATATTCGATAGATCATCTTAAACAATAAAAAAATCAAATCAAATAAATGTTATTTGTGTTATTCTATATAGTACCTATCGAGTATATTGTCTTAGTCTTTGATTCATATATGGAAATTTTTCGAATGATTGTATTAATTCATGAAATTGTTTTTTTTTATTTATTACAAAATTCAATATGATCATCATCACCTTGACGTTCACTTTTAATTATATCATATGGATTTAAAATAAAAAAAAAATAATAATACCCATGTTCATATAGTAAATACAGTCCACGCACATTGAAAGTATACCCTTCGAATTTTTTATTAATATACGTTTTTCATCTATTAACCTACTACATATAGGAAGAAAGCCCGGAATGCGCTGCATCTTTTGGTACATTTACATTGACCATATAATGCAGTTTAAAGTATAAAAAGTGTATTAGAAGAAAAAGTCACTTTTTCTTTTTTGCTACAGTGTTCATAATGTTGTAACATTTTTTATTTCGCATATATCTCGGCTTTGGTAAATGATAAAACGTTGAATTTTTTCCAAAAGCTGCGCCGTGAAAAGCTGTACAAAAGCTGCATAATCGAATTCTTTTTTTACCTGCTCTAGTGATTTTTCTGATACTCAAAATGAACAAATTACATGCCAGTGTCACTTACCATCATACTGGAACTGTTGGAAGACTTTTTTGATCGTCATATATCTCGACTTGAGAAAATGACGGAATGTGGAATTTTTTTGAAAAAGGTGTGCCGTCGAAAGCTCTACAAAACTTGTATAGAGCAAGTCCTGTAGTGAATCAGAGAAGTCCTCGAAATGTTTTCTACATGATGGGAAGTGATACTGCTATGTAAGTTATTTCATTGTGAGTATCAGAAAAAAGGGTGTGGCGTGTGGGTGGGTGTGAGGGGGAGATATGAGTGTGGATGAAAAGAAGACCCACATCGACACCCCACACTTACACCCACACCCTCATTATTTGTGTCAGCAATAACAAGGTTTGCTGATGCTCTGGAAACAGTTGATTGAAAAAAGGGTGTTGGAATACTAGTGACATTCATTATCACGTAAACACTCACACAGACATTTTATCAGGCACACACGTAATCACAACGGAATAGCAAGTTCGGTGAACAGATGAAGAAATAGTGCCCATATCCAGCAGATAAAATTTATAAATAAAAACAGTGTCGGAGAGTATCACGAAAAAATGATTTAGCATTATTTTCTCAATCAAGACTCTATGTGAAACAAAAAATATACTCAGTACTTTTCTTTGTTCGATTTTTACAAGATAATGCATGTACTCGATTTCGTCGAATTAGATGGATTAGTTTTGATACGAGGTGAAGGATTGTCTCTCAGCAAGTTTTCCAATGCTTTTGCAAATCGATTGAATTCATGCGGTGGCATATCACTGCCATTATATTTCTTAGAGAAAATTCTTGTATAAATCTTCATTTGATTTTCACGATCACTGATCAACAATTGAGCATAATCGAGCATTTCATCTCCGCTTTGAAAGTCGAATAAATCTCGTAATTCTATCGATAGTCGGTGATGTGCAAACCATGCTTGAATATCGCCACTAGTTGATGTCCATTGATTCAATGGACGAAAAGTAGTCACTGTAGTTGGTTGTGTGGTAACTGTATTCAATGTTAATGGGGGTTGATGTGTTGATGGTGACAAAGATGGCGGTGGCGATGATATTTTATGATTCGATAATGGTGTTGGTTGTACTGAAACATGCTCATTCGGAAGTGTTTGTGTCGGTGACAATGACACGAGAATCGTATTGAGCAATTCGGTCGCTTTATTTTGTTGTGATCCAAAGGGTTCTCGAAAACGAACATACTTCATACCAGTCATTCGAATACCTTCAACGAAGGAATATAGATTAAGTTAAAAAGTGATTTAGCTTTCATAACTCACCAAGCCATCCTTTCGGTTCAAAAGTTTCAATTAATACAGGTAAAATTTTTTTCTTGAGTGAATCCGTAGCATAGACAAATTCTTTTCGGCATGATTTACTCTCAAAATATTGATTCGATAGTAGACATATAATGATCGATGCTTGTTCCATACCATCGGCAATCGATTCCCACAAATCGTCGACTCCTTGACAATGCGTTCGATCTATCCATAGCTCAAAGACATTACTATACCTATTTAGTAAATCGAGTATTTGACTACAAAAAGCATTATCTCCATGGGCATAGCTAATCATAATCGATGGTTTCTTTGGTGTCCTAGAAAATTAAAATTCAACATTAACTCATTCATAGTAGTTATCGATTCTCTTACTTCCCAATGGGGTCCGAAACGTGAACATCGAGAGAAGTATTATTGTCATTGATTATTATCTCAGACTTATTGTTTCGATTCAGATTGTGTAAAATCCCATGTGCTGCTTCTTTAACACCCTCCATAGATCGTGGTTTGTATTGTTCGAGAATCTCTTCTCCTTGATCATTGTTGGCAAATTTTTGAATTGCTACTATCAATTCCTGATCTTGAATTAATTCAGATATATAGTCCTCTTGAAAGGATATACTCCAGAATATATTTAATAAGGCTAGCAATGTAAATTGTTTTACTCGATCTGCTGCTTTCAATACATCGGCGAATTGAAATAGAAGCGAGGCAAATAGGTGAATCGTTGAATGTATATCTGATGGCGGTTGTGTTTCCGCATGACATAAGACATAATCGATTGTACGCTCGTCGACAACGAACATTTTCACTAGGATACCTAAGGGTTCACTAATATGAAATCCATCATGTCGATATCGATCACTTTTGGCAGCATCGATAACAAGTTGTAGTAATTGATCAAGTACAGTGTTCATTCCTTTCTTATTCTGCTTGAGTTCTTCTGGTGTGGAGAGAAGAGCCAAAGCCATTGAAGCAGTAAAAATTCGTGTATCTTTTTTCTCTGGTTTACTTGAAAGTGAACATCAGATGAAATCGAAAAGCATCTGTTATGAACTTACATGTTCTTAAATTTTTTGATCATGTCGATTGCTCCATATTTGTTGAGTTCATCAGCTCCGTCATCATGTCGAGCGAGATTATAAACAATACTGATTAGAGGTCGACGACCACTATCTGTCAATTTAGCTGATTGAGAAAGCCAGCCGACAACCTTTCTAGCAAGATCACATTTCAACAATATCGGAACGAGTATGGTTCGATCGGTTGTGTTCCACATGAGACTAAGAATACGTACATTGATATGACCTAAGTCATATTCTGTTTCGGTGGCTGTTTGACAATGCTCGGGCATACTTTGTTCTATATGTTCAATTAAAATACTATACAGTTCTGTATGACTTTCAATAAATTGTTGGTCATCGATTTTTGCAAATGATAAATATGAAATCAAATTTCCAGCAATCCATAAGAGATAGAAAACATGCTTGTAATATATTTGATTATTTGGTAAATTCTGTTGTTCAGTTGTTAGCTCAAGATAATATCTTATATTTGGTTGATTGAGTTGAGATATACATGTAAAACAGCTCTCTCGAGTGATTTGTATATCACTTCGTAAGAAATGATAATTGACACCTTTAAATAGACCTGTTAGAATAGACGCACATTCTTGGTAGCATAATTCAGCATCAGATGGAGAAATTTGTAGAATTTCACACCAAAGAGGTAAGAATTGTGACCATATTTCTTTTTTCAATCGACTATTTGTTTTTGGTAGAGTTTTTAATTTCTCTAATTGATCAATCCAATGTTGATATGGAGATATTTCACGTTTATCTGTGGTTGTTTCTGGAATATTTTCCGATTGATCAACGAAGTCCATATTAGATGCGTCATTCATATTGTTAGAAGAAAAATGAGTTTTAACGTATAGTTATGTACACTTTTATGTTATGACGACTATTGTCATTGGCATGACTACTGTTCGGATGTGCGTGAATTGTTGATAGGCAAGAGAAAAACAAGTTTTTTCTCTTCTCCATAATGAAAGTATCTTAATGTTGTTGAGTTGGCCCGTACCAAAGATATTCACTAAATGTTCGAATTGTCATATAATTATCTATATTTTACCGTTGGAAAAGAAATATTTATTATTAGAATACATAAAAAAGTCAAAACAAGCATGATTCAGCATGCTTCCCTATGGCAAGAAAAGAAACTGTTACTAACGTTTTTTATTTACTATATTGCACTATAGCACAAAGAAAGCATCAAAATGATCCATCGTCAAGCAAGAACGCAAAAAAAAGTTCCTTAATGAATTGTTTAACACATAACGACAGAAGCGAATGAAACATTCCATGTGATGATGGCGGCAGAATGAAGTCAAAACAATTTTTTGTACGGAATGATGCCCATCTAGTCAATAATTGATGCATTAACATTCAAATGTTTACAAATCTCAAGAACTAAGAAAAAAAAAGCCTACTCAAGCGTACGAAATCAGATTGAATCTTCCTTGTTGTCAGTTGTTCAGATTCAGCAAATATCCACAGGGTATTTATCAGTTGAATGCGACAACGAAAAGAACTCACTCAGCAATTAATGAAAACATAACTATACGAACTGCACTAACATTAAATACTGTCGAGTTTTAAATCATTATGTGAAGAAAAGAAAGGGTGTGGGTGTGGGTGGGTGTCGGTGTGAGTCTGGGTCTGGGTTGTCTTAATTACACACTCACACCGATACCACCCACGCCCCACACCCTTTTATTGTTCACTGTGAGTAAGGCAACTCTTTAAGAAAAAAAAAGTAAAATGTCGATTCATCAAGATTGAAAAATTGACATATTTTTGCAGGTGCTGAATCGTTTTCTGGATCAAAATCGTTTCAAAAGAAACTCTGTTTTTTTACTATGAAAGTTCTCATCCGAACTTCAAAGAGTCTCGAGACTTCACCAGTTGCTATATCAGTGAGAAGAAAGCATGATCGAGGCTGAGTGTATTTCAGGACGTGAACAGATGCTACTACTTGAGGTTCTGATGCATGAACACTATTCAGTGGTACGGAATCCCAAAATCGAGAATATAGCCGACATACTCTGTGCACAGTTCTTAATTAGATACTTTTTTTTGAAATACATAAAACGACTCTTTTGTTTGACAAAAAAGAAACTCAAGTATATACAAAATACTAAACATTTATCTATTCATGTTTATGATATCATAGAAAAAAAGTTTTATCTATCTTTCTCGACATTCCTCTCTTCCGCGCAGACACTTATCAGACTCAATCTTTCAAACAATCAACTTCGACACAACAAGATGACTATCTTGCTCTCTCTCATCTTCATTCTGTTCACGAATTTTTCCTTTCTCGAAGACAATCACCAGACTTAATCTCCACTCGAATAGAATTGAAGATCAAGTAGCGCAATATCTCGTTGATGTTCTACGACAAACCATACTAATTATCTCTCTTCTCCTTGTCTTTATTGTTCTACATCTCAAAAGTTGCTATTTTTGTATAGACACTGAAGAAATTACTCATCAGTCGTTGAGATATGTCTTTGGCAGTTTGGAACAAATTGAGAAGCAGCAAAGATCAATGTCGGGTGTGGATGTAAGTGTTGCTCAACTGTTCACAACATCCACATCCATATTCTATTTTGCTTTTGATTGATCACAAATTTGTAATAGAATTTTTCAAAAATTTACTTCATGATGATAGATAATAATTACAATCGAAATATAATGTGACATAAATGTTCATAAAATCTATTCGACATTGTAATTATCCACACGTTTACTTGTTTAACTATTTGATTGTGTATTAAATATTTTCTTGATCAAAATTTTTCATTAATATTGCTGTTTCGAATAATAAAAAAACAAAAAAAAAGGAAATAAATGATAACATTGTCTTTATCAATGAATATATTGATGACATCATAAATATGCTGTAGAAGAAATCGAAAATATCTGATTAAAATCTTTTCTCTTTTTGTAAATCTCTAGAGGTAAAAAATATCTTCATATCAAAATCTATAATAAATGAGCTGATTTTCACTTGTTCTCTTAACTCTCGAAAGACGTTACAATTACTTGAAAAAAAGACATTAGTCTCTATATGAAATGTATCTTATCATGTTAGATCGCATCTCATTGATGAAAGTATCAAAAGTGTACAATGTCTACTTGATCTAATATTGACATACCATATGATTAATAAATAATTTATTTATTTACTACATCTGAATTAGTTAGTCAACACTTAATTGAAATAAAACAACTACATCTATAGTCTAATTCCAGTACTTAATTCAATTATAGATGCTATAATATCCAAACATGGGGGTATGGGAATCCGACGTCATAATAGCCATGAAGCATTCAATCGAGATGTAGTCATTTATAGATCCTGAACATTGGTGTAATTACCCTGAACGTAATGACTTGGATATAACTATATGTTAAAAGTTGAAGAATTTAAGTTGTTTTGGTGTAATGTCTTTCATCTGATAGGATATAATTATGAGTTTTTTTCTCGAAACTGTTTCAATTTTCTTATAAGAAGTGCATGATAGCAGTCATTACACTGAAAGGGCACTAATTCCTAAATACTTAGTAAGAGTAAATGAAGAAAAAGTCGTTATCAGATGTAAGAAGATTATGACATCACTCGTATAACTTACTGCTTAAAAATTCAATCGACAGTAATATCAAATGCATATATGCAGTTGAATATGTGTATGTCCGTATGGCTCTTTTTATCTACTCAAACAATTACACTTATAGTCTCACACTCTAGCTCGTCGACACTCTTAAACTACACTGCAGAATCATCTGATTGGCTGAATATACAGCATAATATTTTGATTCTTAAGTCTGCACTGTTGGCAATAAACCTGAACACGTGTCTATTCACGTGCATACAAGGTCACAAACTCATTTTATTTTATGACCTTTCTTTCAGTTGAAGAAAATAGGAGCAGAGCTGCAATTATTCATATTAAAGTATTCATTAGTGATTTAACTAATTAGATGAGAACTAGAAGAGACTCAACTTCCTAAAAGACTTTGAACTCCTCTCGCTGCCTAAAAACAGTTGAGTTTTACTTAAAAATGAGTTTGAAATCTTTCTAGAAGCATTACCAAAAGATCTCCATTCCCTTTGCTGACATGATCATGGGGCTAAGTTCCTGTCTTACAAGTCATTTTTTGTTTATATCACTAGTCTTTATCATTCTGTAGACGCATTTTAAAATTGCATTAAGGTTTGAAATAGTATTATACTTTCTACTCAGTTTTTTGTATCAATCAAAATGATCATGTATTCTTGGGCAATCTATTAATATAATAATAACTCATAAAAAATAGAAAATTAATATAATATTCAAGCAAAATTTTTTATTTGTATATTATCACTCAAATATTTATTGAAATATATATTCTTAAATATGAATTTGATCAATATCTTTCTATTTAGTAAATGTTATATTTGTTATTATATGAATAAACAAACGCAAAATGATTTAAAAAAGAACGAATAATCGTGAGTTCGATGAGTTCATCTATAAAAAAATCTACGATATGAGTTTATACTATGATCGTGTTTTTTTTTACTTCATCCATTTAAAGAAGGAAGAAAAGAATCAACAAAAGAAACTACCGAATAAATAACGAAATACTTTCAAGTATTACTTGTCTCATAAATCGAACTTAAAGAATAAGAAAAAGACGATTTACAAAGAAAAGAAATTTTCAGATGCGTTTTTTGTATATTAATCTTTTAATATTTATTTATTTTTGTTCATTTTCTTGTACTTATACAAGCAAAGATAATAATATATGGTCATGGATAAAAACAAAATATTTAACTCGATCAAATTGGTCAACATTATTAATTGCTAATAATAATAATAATTCTTCTGATTCAATATGGTTTATTTTTCATTATCAAAATTCTTTTCCATATTCAAAAAAACTTGCGTCTATTTGGGAAAATCTTGCTCAATATGCAATTAGTAAAATATCTAATGGAAAAAAGAAATTTTTTTTTGTTTTAAAATAATCTCTATTTTTTAATATAGACTGGTCAAAATATATTAAAATAGGTGCATATGATTGTACCAATGAATCATTATTAATGAATGATATTTGTCAAGATAAAAATTATTCTCACTGGACTATTTATTGTCCATTAACAAATACAACACAATTAGCATTTCAGTCAGAACAAATATTAGATAATATAATATTCGAAAATATTTTAATTCATTTATTTAATAAATTAAATAAAATTATAAATCAATGTTATGGAAAATCATGGCCAATTGAAAATATAATTGAGTAAATAGACAAAAAAAAAGTTAATAGAATTGATTATTTTGAAATATTTAGACCAAAAACAATTGATGATTTGAATAAATTAATTCCAACAAATTTAAATAAATTTCAATTATTTGTTTCTGATGATATTCTTCTTTATACTATTGTAAATTGAAAATATTTTATTTATTAATAAATGAATAAATAATTTTATTTAGTATGTATTAAATAATTCAAAAACTATTCAAACAGAACCAATTTATCGTTTGACAAAACAAAATCAAATTACATTAAATATTGGTATTTGGAAAGGAATTCGTTATAAAAATGGTCAAATATATCTTCAATCGTTAGTTTATTCATAAGAAAAAAATTTTTTTTTTTTTTATTTTCAATTTTATATTTAGAATCGATTCAAAAAATGTAATGCAACCTTTAATACTGTCTAAAAATATGAATTATGATATTGAATTAATTAAACAGTAATTAATAATTTATTCAATTTTTAATATTAATTTATTATTTTCAAGAAATAGTACAACGATGGCTAAACCAACTCTTTCAGATATAGATAGTGCTGTTATTTGGATGATAAATAAAGATCTTCGTCGAAAATTACCTAGTTTAACTGAAGATGTTAAAAATTGGATTAATACTCTTTATATAGTAAAAAATTGTTTTTTTTTCAATTAAATTATTGTCTTCCTTCTTTTTTTTTATAGTATTATCCTGGAAGTAATACTCTTCAAAATTTTCTTTATGATTTAAATATATTTCTTAATAATCGTACTACATTAACATCAACAGAACTTCAAAATTATATTAATTCAACATCGGTAATTACTTTTGAAAACAATAGAGACTTTTTCTTTTACTTTTAATAGATTATTAAATTACCTGAATTAAAATTCGATCATTGTAATGGATCTGATTCAACTAAACGTGGTTATCCATGTACATTATGGGTTTTATTTCATAGTATGACTATCAAACAAGTTCAACTTGATGAACAAAATAAATGTAATCTATATTAACAATAAGAATTCAAACATTTATAAATCAGATGAATTTATAATTGTTTGAGTTTTATAGACTATCGAAAGGCAATTATATGATTTTAATATATTTCTATAGGACTTTAACGGTATGAATTTCATTTATAAGTTTCTAACGAGTAACCAAAACCAATAGGATAAATATTTTTTTTTTTTTTGAATGTTGACGTGATTCAACGAGAAAGTAACTTTCATATTATTTTAATTAACTTTTATCAGTAAAATAATTTAGACAGTAACTAAAAAAAAATAAGAAGGGGAATATGAACCGTAGTATAGAAACAACATGTTTCGAACGTACGGAAGGTGATAGACAATAAAATCAAACTAGATTTTGGCAATACTTTTGATAAGCTTAATATCAGGACAAGAATTAGATAAGAAAAAAACTGTTAGCGCAATCCTCGCAGGATTAAAAATGTGAAACACGATAAAGCTGTTGTTGATAAACAAGTAGAAATAGTTTTGTTCTGGTTGTTTCAGGATATGTTTCTTTAGAACTGTAGTCAGCAAGTAGTTCACATATTGTAATGATAGTCTATCGATATAAGATTTTAACGTATTTCAAAAACGCCTATCCCACTCCTTAATGGGTTTTAGAGATGTTGCTCAAGGTCTGTTATGCCTCTAAGCCCTGTCTGTAATGGTCTCTGTACTTAATCAGTCTTATTTAACATCTGATTATCTTTTTGTTGAATATAAGTTTCATATTTATTGACATTTTTACTTTATATTGACAACAGTGAAAAGAAATTGATATTTAAACTGTAAAAGTAGATAATTAATTGTTTGGTAATGATTTATCTAATAACCGATGGGCCAAATGTTTTGAAAGAAAATGTTTCTAATAAATGAAAGCCTATGGATGATGACTAAAATTTTCTTGAGATCAATGAGATTATTAATAATTTGTACGGACAATTTTTTTACATACTTTTGTACTTTCACTATTGCTATTCGAAAGTTAATGTTGAATTCTTTATTAATATATGAACTTGTAGTGCAGAAACGACTCTACATAATGTATTATTCGAGTTCTTTGTTGTTTTTCTTAAATTCTTATTTTTGATCAGAATATGTTTTGCATAAAGAAGAACTTTTGGCAAAAATTATCTATAGTTTAGTTAAATATAAAATTTTGTAAAAAAAAACAAACCCTCTTTCAATCTACCGAAGTCTAACATTTCTGGATTGAGTTATAGGATTTTTCTTGAAACCTTCAATTTCAGCAAATCAATCTGGAATTATCGAGAAAAATAGTTAAGAATGGATAATTCATTATGTTGAGTCAAATGGTAATATTTGTCTTTAGGCTTAAGCGGATTGATTGGTATTATCTGATTATTTCTGAAGGTCTCAATCTGTCTCTACATAATGAAGAAGCCAAGATTTTGGAAATATTGAGATAATACACAAGCGAATTAACTGAAATGAAAAATCCTATATCTTTGGACGAAACAAGTTAGAAATTGTTGGCTTTGCGTAAATCGAAAGGAAAATAACTTCGAAATATGGTTTTTGAAAACCATCACCATGAACTCACTGTGATGGTCAACTATAGAATAATCTAATCTTGACATGTCTCGATACTTCCTAGATTCTAGTCTCCTATAATAGAAATTGCAATTTTCTATCGAAAACTATCTTTGAAGCAAATGTTTATTATAAAACATTTGATTTTTCATATTGAAAGAAAAAGTAAAGTTGTTTTGTTTTTGTCTTTTCTATTAGTACCATCAAATGTTAAACCATTCGATCTTATATTATCAATTCGAAACTTTATTGGTAAATTTTTTCTTTGTCAAGAATGTGTTACACATTTTCTGAATATGACATTAAATGCTGAAAATGAAATTAATTCATATAAACAATGTGTTCTTTATCTTTGGCGAAGTAAATGATTGCGTTTTTGTTTTTTTGTTCTACAAAATATTGTTTGTTTCTTTTTTGAGGTCATAATATTGTTAATAAACGTCTTCGTTATGAAAATGATTCAAATGATCCAAATTGGCCAAAAATACCATTTCCAAATCAACAACAATGTAATAAATGTATTGAAAAATTAGATGAAAATGATGATGCATTAGAATATAATGAAAATGAAGTATATAAATTCTTAAAAGAATTTTATTTTTTTACAAATTCAATCAACAAAAATCAAAATAATTATTATTTTTTAATATTCTTTTTTGTTATTATTAATAGATTAATTTTATATCAATAAAATTTAATTATCATAAAAAATAACCATTTTATATTCTAATCTGTAAATACGTTTTAGTAGAAAAAAAAAGAAAAAACTCAGTATATAATACAAAATGCAGCGTGAAAAGCTTTACAATTTTTAATGTAAAGCATATTTTAATGCAAATATATGTAGAATCAATAATTCGCTTTTTCTTTTTATCTCATCAATGGTAGACAATTATATTAATTGATGAAAAATATTTCTCATTAGAACATGTTTATGCTGCAAGTTGACAAGAAACAGACCCATAAGGGTATACAGGGTGTTTCATTAGTCTTGAGGCGTGATAATATTAGTTAATATATGCAGAGCGAAAAATAATTCATAACCGAATATTTTATTTTTTTTATATATCATTATTGAGTACTCTGTGTAATAATCTTTCAGATGACATATTATCATCTCGTATCTTTTCTTGTAATTTGTATAATATAAACATAGGAATATCACAAGAAATTTTTTGCGCTCGACTTAAGTAATGTTTTTCTTAAGCGTATCAAATATTTATGCGATGTTCATCATGAAAGCACTAGTTAGATTTTTAGGTAAGATATATGTATTGAAATACATATATATATAAATATTATGTGTAGAACATATATTATATTATTGAACTTTTAATAAATTATTTAATAATCGAATTTTATCTCAATAAGGTAACGATAAATTTTGTCAATATATATAGTTTAGTGAAAGTATATGTGAAATATTAAAAGAAAAAGTATGAGTAGAACAATTTTAAGTTTTAAACAATGAAAAAAAAAAATAATATTTTGATTCTTTTTTTTAAATAATAAATAATGTTGATTAATGAGAAAAATACAAGAGACGATACGAGACAATAATATATCATCTGAAAGATTGTCATAAGTACTCAATGATGATATAAAAAGAAAACATTTCGGTTTTGATTTATTTTTCTCTCTGCATATAAACTAATTTTGTTGTGCCTCAAGACTTATGAAACATTTTGTATTGATCAAAAGGTTAAGTACTTAGTTTTGTGTAACCGATTATTTTAGTCAAAGCCGTCAGAATTGACAGACGATTTTATTCAGTTATTTTTAGTGTAACTATGATCTACAAAAACAATTAAATGGTCGCATAAAATTTTTTATTTTTTTTGTTTTAATAAAACGTAGTTATCGATGAAAATATACAATGCAAAGTTTAGCCATTCATTATGGGCCATCCGTTATATATTGTAAGATTTACTATATATACCTATCAGACAGTCTATAGTTAATTGACGCTTATATTCAATTTGATCAAGATTTAGAAATATTATTGAAACATTTCAGAAAATTAATCAACGATTTAGCTGTTTTTGATTTTTCAATATATCTTCTTTATATATACGCTAAAAAACTGATTGAGTTTTTTTATTTGATATATTGTGTTCGATTTTATTCGTGAAATATAATCCAACGTGTTAATTAATCATTACAGTAGAGAACTAGTAGTTTATGAAGAAGATAAGTACATATCATGACATTGAGAAATAAACAACATAATATAGCATTATGAAATAATAGGATCACTAGCATTAGTTGTCTATTTCGCATTTTCTTTGCGAATGGATTTTGTTAGTATGAGAATATGGTTACATTAATTACTCATTATTATGTTAGCCTTAGGTGAAAGATTAATTGTGAACGATTCGATATTCTGACTTCACTATTTAAGCAAAAAGAAAATATTCAGCTTAAAGATGTGCAAGACCAACTTTTTGAGTCCTGGATGCCGGTAATTTTTCAGCTATTAATTCTTGATGCCATCATTGCTTTTTCGAATTGATATAGTTAATAAGATAATATCTTTTAAAACAATAGATTATTGTACTTTAAACTTGATTTTTACTCCCGACAATATAATTTTTTCTTATAGTCTTGATCTTGATTTTCAGCACATATTGCACTTGCATTCTTTTAAAAATATTCAAAATTCATTAGTTAAGTTGTAAACATCAAGAAAGATATAACCTGAAAATTTCAGGTCAATTATTCAATTATATTACAAAAGTTAGTAAGTCTTTTTGTTTCGAAATAATTTTGTTTTTCGTTGTTTTGACTTACTGTAGAATGTATTCAAAATAAAAACGATTCTAATTTTTTCACTTCAATCTATTAGAAGAAAAGATTGACTCAAAAACAACAGTAAAAATTACATTTCATCAAGGATTAAATTTTTTTTTCTCCTACTCTGTATCATACTAATCTACAAATGTTTTATGTAGATTTATGGCAAGATGATGATGGTGTTAAAAACTATAGATTAGAATTAGTGTATTGTATACTTTTAAAATATAGTCTTAGAAGTTTTTTTTGTAAAATGTTAAATAGTTAAAGTGAAAACCTTCTAAATGTATTTTCGAAGATGCTGAAAAAAATATTCAAGTCAGTTGTTTTATTGAGTGGATACTTATTTATTCAGTTTTATATTAAACTAACTATACAAAGTGTCTTTTATTCAAAAATGAAAAGTAGAAAAACATGAGCAGTATATTTTGTTCTACAAGTTTATAGCTAAATAAAAAGAGAAAACAGCATAGACTTAAATATTGACATCTTAGAAGTCTTTCAGACCGTCTATGAATAACTTCTTATTATCATAAATGAGCAACTTCATTATTTCATTTCTAGAGGATTAAGTAAAATGATTAGTTAATAAACATGTTCCAAAATAGAAGAAATAAAACAACCTTTCTATGATTAACAATAGCAGCTACATCATATTGTATTTGTTTATCCTATAGAAATTGCACTAACAGTTTTTAGTATATGTTGAGATCTTATTAAGTCTCTTAAAGTCGGCTGTTTACCCCTATTGATTACAATAATAACAGTACGAAACAATGTTCTATCTATAGAATATTTTCTCGAATTTCAAAAAAACATGCATGTTTTTTAATTGACAAGAGATTTTCTCAAATGAGATGAATTTTTTCGACTTTTCAAACTTTCAGTGAAAATTCTTTGATTAAATCTTCTCTCGATATATCAAGTGGAGTATATAGCCATCTCAGAAGTGATTATCATTCCTTTTTTTTGAATATATGAATTCAAAAATAAAACTTTTATATTTATTTATATTTCCTTTTTTTTTCTAGACAAAAGTAGTAAAATATCTGTTCATTAGTGATAATTAATAATTAACTATAGAAAAAAAAAAAAAAAACACTGTGTCGTTTTACAAATTCAAGAAAAGAAAAACCTAATTCCAAAAATATCTAAATCTCTTTCAATCACGAAATGGAACACAAAAAAAAATAATAATAAAACTTATATCCTTCTTAGAGAAAATTAAGCTGTTATAACAAAGCATGCACACAAGAAAAGTTCAGTATAACTTGCGTACCTCGATGATTATTTAAGTGCAAATTCAAGCTTATTTACTAGTCTATTACTATTTATTACTGTAGATTTTCTTTTTAATTAGAAAGAAAAATGTCGTTGACGTCAATTGTCTACACAAAAAGTGTTATTAATACAAATTTTGTATTGTATAAGAAAAGAGAATGTTTATTCCATTTCTTTTCAGTTTTTGAATCAACTGTTCATTATATTTGACCATTAATAGGTGAGTAGAATATTCGATATTCTGTTGAACAAAATTTTTCTTTATCATATTATAATAATATGTATTAGTTGACGATTTATAAAATGATTTTATCAGATAATTTAATTAACATTCAAAAAAAAAAAAATTGTCAATTTTGATTAGTAATGATAAATAAGGAAAAAAGTCTCTTACCAGTTAGTCGATTATTTTTCACGTCATAGAACAGAAATATTTTTTATATGTAAATATCTTATGAGGAAACTATGTCAAGTAACACTCGCTGTTTAAGTTTATATTGAAGCTACAGATAGGTTTTAGTGATAGTAGCAAATGCCTATAATAGCTCGTTCGCATGAGCCTTCATTATCGAATTATGATTGTTTTAGTGAATTTGCAAATCATTTTTCTGTAGTTACCAAAAAAGACAGAATCGTAAATTAAAATTTCTCTTATAGATAAGTTTAATGACTCTTGTAATATTCTAAAAGTTTCAGCTGAACAGAATGTTCTTTCATCAATATATTGATTATCAAACAATAGTTCTTTGTTATAAAAATCGAGTTTACTAGAAAACTCAATTACTCGGCTAAGAAACATTCTTTTCAACTGAAACTTTCAGAATGTTCTAAGAGTCATTAGATATGTTTATAAACAAAATATTCTATCAATGCTTCATTATTTAATAATAATGAATTACGTATCTAGTAAACCGATGATCATTTAGTATTGAAGGGCAATAAGGACGAAGTCTTTTAAGTTTTTGCTATTCTCACCGAGAGTTGTCTATTAGTTCAATATGAGTTGATATGTAAGAGAGTTTCTATTGACCTATAAGATCTATCTATCGATAAAATTTCATCTTGAAATTCGATTATTTATTTTACGTTCTTAGAGTAAAAATAAAGTAAGATACGCATGACTGAACAAACGAAAATCAGAATACAACAATTTTTATATAAATAATTTGAATGTACTATGAAAGAGACATGTGCCTTTGAAGAGTTATGAATATCTATTCATACGAAATTAACAAAAAAAAATAGAAAACTCATTTTTCTTTGAAGTGATTCTCAATACTATTCATTCATTCAATTATAAGAGCTTATTGAGCTTTTCTTTAGTGATATTTTCGAGCGTTTGCGAGACAATTACATTAGTTAAAAAAATACTGCATCGTTTAGTGAATAAGAAATAAAAAGACCATAGCATTATTCTCTGATTAAGAAGTTCGAAAAGAAAACCGGAAGAAGTTCATTAGTAAAAGAAGTTAGTTATTTAATTTGAATATACTTCTAATTATAAGACGTTGTTTTATCACATTGTCAATTGTTTGAAAATCATTGTTAAAAGATTCAACAAATCTTTAAATTGACATTAATAAATAAATCATGTTAATGGTTATTATTATTCTATACAATATCTTTACGACAATCAATGA